CAGAAGCTGTGCCACTCCACTCAGTTCCACCAAAAGCATAACTAATTCAAGCTGTGTTTTATTATTTCCTGTAGCACTTCCTTCAAATAATTTTGTGTCACAGCTAAAAATATTTTTTGATTTTGAAATTGTGTCACACCTTGAACTATGCGCACTTGGAAGAAAGCGGTCTCCAAACCTACGTCCCTCAAACTCAGTGCACATAGAGCCATCATATCATACTGTCTTTCAAGACATCCTAGAAGAGCCTCCCAATTTGCTGGCAGTTTTCTTCTCCCCAGAAGTTGCAGCTCTGGGGTGGGGAAGGACTTGTTGCTGTTTGGTTTATTTTCTTTTGAGAGGAGAGTAGTTTGTTCAATACCTGGTGGAGACTACTTGCTCTACAAAAAGTATTCCTGTGCAACTTCTGGCGAATTTTGAACTGAAAGGTTTTTCCCAAGCCAGGATTCCCCCGCCCCTCCTCATTTTTTAAAAAATGGTCCAGCCTCCAAATCCAAAAGTTTTTATGGACTACATTCCCCAGAATGTTTTCTTTACAAATTGAACACAAGATAGAATCTGGATCAACATGTTTGAGGTTGAAGAACAGTACTCAACAAGGAAAAGAGGAAGCCCCTAAAACTTAACGAACACAGCACCGTATTAGATACTTAAACACAAAGAGTCATCTAAGCCTAACATCTGAATTTTTTTTAAGTGGTAACTTCAGCATAGTTTTGTTTATATATCACTGTATCTAAGATTGCAGATGAAATCAAAAGCAGTCAAGTGAAAAATGAATGGAATCCTGTGATTCATAAAAGGAAGCATTGCCTTAATACTGATCTTGTCTTCGTAAAAACAGAGAGATTTGGAACACAAACAGTGTATCCCAGAGACCATTATTACCAGATCAGAGACAATAGAAAAGAGTATCTTTATTTTTCTCTAGTAGGAAAGAAAGCTACTGAAGAGGTGCCCCTACTTTTCTGACCACAAATTCCATGGAAAAATAAGAGCCGTTCTGGGGAGAACACCCTGAACAGCATTATCCTTCTGGCAAGCATTTAATGGAAACAAATTTACTTCCAGATCATACATAACAACCTACCAAATAAAAATCTCCCCATACTAGGAATTTCACTACGCTCTAAAAGCAAAAATAATTCTGAAGAGGTCTGTTGATAGTGAAACAGAAGTTCTGTATTTTCCAGATGAGAAATTTCAACAGAATCATTCAAGTTTGAAGGGACACACCCCACCCCACATCCCCCTCCCCTTTCAAGTTCCCTCTAGTCCAAACACTCCTGCTCAAGCTGAATCAGCTAAATCAGGTCACCCAGCATTGTGTCCACCCTGGCTTTGAGTATCCCTGTAGATGTGAATGATAATGTCTCTAGGCTACTTAGACCACCCTCAATGTGAAAAGGTTCTCTTGTGTTTAGATGGGACTTTATGTGTTTTAATTTGTGCTCTCTTGTCCAGTCACTGAGCACTACTGAGAAGAGTCTGGCTCCATTCTCTTCGTTCCCTCCCATCAGGTATCTAGACACACTGATAAGATCCCCTCTGAGTCTTCTCTGACCAGGCTGAACAGTCCCAGATCTCCCAGCATCATCTCATACACGCCTCCCCTGTACTGGGGAGCCCAAAACTGTACTTCAGATGTGACCTCACCAGTTCTGAGTAGAGAAGAAAGACCACCTCTCCTGACTCATGGCAACACTCCTCGTCGTGCAGCCCAGAACGCTGCTGGGCATTTTTTTTGCCATGAAGGGTGCATTACTCACTCATGGGCAGCTTGTTATCCACCTCAAGGTCCTCCTCTGCAGAGCTGCTTTCCTGCTGGCCAGCCTCCCGCATTTACTGGTGACTCAGATTATTCCTCCCCAGGTGCAGGAATCTGCATTTTCCTTTACTGAACTTCATGAGGTTCCTCTGCTCAGTTCTCCAGCCTGTCCCTACCCCTCCAAATGGCAGCACAACCGTCTCCTCTATCCCCCAACCCTCCCAGTTTTGTACCATCTGCAAACTTGCTGAGGGTGCACTCGGTCTTATTGTCCAGGTCATTAACAAAGGTTAGAAAATAATGGCCCCACTACAGATCCCTGGGGAACACCACTACTGAATTGCCTCCAACTGATCACAACCCTCTGGCCTGGCTGTTTAGGTAGTTTTCAACCCACTCTGTCTATTTATCTAAACCATTCTTTGTCAACATGTTGAGAAGGACATTATGGGATACAGCATCAAACACCTTACTCAAGTCAAGATTAACTGCTCTCCCCCTCACCCACCAAGCTACTTATCTTGTTGCAGAAGGTTAATGAATTGGTTGAGCACAATTTGCCATTTATAAATCCTTGCTGACTATTCCTGATCACTTTTTAGGTGTATCTGATATAACCCAGTTCACTAAAAAATTTCTCTCCACAATCATGAACATGCTTATGAGGAAAAGCCTTCAATCTCCGTCTCAAGCTGTGTTGTAATCGGCAGGCCAGAACTTCCTTTGGTTAAGAGTCTACATAATAAAGCGGGTCTAGAAAGTCTCATCATTCTTCACACAAGTTTTTGATGCGTGGGATTTTTATTCATATTCTCTTTAGTCTCCAGAAAAGACTCAAGGCTGACACATAACTGCAGAAGCAATGCAATGCTCCGTAAGATGTTTAAATCCTCCTTCATTACTAAACAAGGATATCCAGCTCTTTGCTTAATGACTGCCACCCACTTCTGCGAACCTGAGAGAGCACCTTCTATCTTGCCCAAGGAAAGGTACTTTAGCAAAAGGAAGTCTCAAGTTTCTGAAAAGATTGACTCTCCTTGATGGCACCATAACACTGAAAAGCTTGTGGTAGAAGTAAATTAGAACTTGCAACCAGGAACCAAAGCCATAGACAAGCTATCTACAATCAAACTATTTCACTGTCCCTAATTTTCAATTACATTTTTCTCATGGTCCTATTTCTTAACCAACTTTGACAGACTCGTGAAAGAGAAGTAAAAAGATGACGACGACATAAGAAGTGACACTGGCTGGCTGGACAGTCCCAGAGTGTGGTGGTCAATGGAGCTAAATCCAGCTGGCGGCCAAATCACAAGTGGTGTTCCTCAGGGCTCAGTGTTTGGACCATTTCTATTCAATATCTTTATTGATGACCTTGATAAGGACATAGAGCGTATCATCAGTAAGTTCACAGATGACACCAAGTTAAGCAGGAATGTCGATCATCATGAAGATAGGGAGGCTCTACAGAGCGACTTGGATAGATTGGATCTGTGGGCCAACGTTAACGGGATGGGCTTCAACAGGGACAAGTGCCAGGTCCTGCACTTGGGCCACAACAACCCCCTGCATGGCTACAGGCTTGGGGAGGTGTGGCTGGAGCTGTCTGGAAGAGAAGGATCTGGGGGTTCTAACTGACAAGCAGCTGAACATGAGCCAGCAGTGTGCCCAGGTGGACAAGAAAGACAACGGCATCCTGGCTTGTATTAGAAATAGTGTGACCAGCAGAAGGAGGAGGTGACAGTCCCCCTGTGCTCTGCACTGGTGAGGCCACACCTGGAGTATTGTGTCCAGTTTTGGGCACCTCAATACGAGAGAGATCTCGAGGTGCTGGAGCGAGTGCAGAGGAAGGCAATGCAGCTGGTGAAGGGCCTGGAGAACAGATCCTGTGAGGAGAGATTGAGGGAACAGGGACTGTTCAGTTTGAGGAGGAGAAGGCTGAGGGGAGACCTCATCACTCTCTACAACTACCTGAAAGGACACTGTAGAGAGGTTGGTGCTGGTCTCTTCTCACAGGTGATTAGTGACAGAACAAGGGGGAACGGCTTTAAACTGCAACAGGGGAGGTTTAGACTGGACATTAGGAAAAAATTTTTCACAGAAAGAGTGGTGAGACAGTGGAATAGGCTGTCCAGGGAAGTGGTGGAGTCACCATCCCTGAAGGTGTTTGAGGGTCATTTAGATGAGATGTTGGTGGATATGGTGTAGGGGAGAACTTTGTAGAGTAGGGCTGATGTTTGGACTCGATGATCCCAAGGGTCTTTTCCAACCTGAATGATTCTGTGATTCTATGATCTAAAGATGTGTCAGTCATGGTACCAAACAACTTTGTTTAAAATACTTTTCCACACATGATAGCACAGATTCAATATATGCCTCGGACTATCATTAGTTTCAGTAGATTATAATTTCAACTTTAGGAACTAGAAGAGAAAAATGTACTGTATACTGGTTTCTTGAACCAAAAAGACTGCCATGAATAAATCACACACAGCCCAGAATAAATCACACAGCTAAAAACTTCTGTTAAACTCTTCTTTCTGCATTCATGACAGATTTCATAGATACTGTCAAATTGTCATGTCATTAAAACATTATTTCACACCTTAAAGTGGTTTCTGGTGAGCTAAGCAATAAAAAGAGTTAAGCCAGAATGAAGACCAATGCACCTGTTCTGAATAAAACCTGGTGGCTCAGATCCCTTTAGAACCAACAATAAAATTAAGCTTTCAGCTCTTATGATCTTTCAAGCAGGAACCAAATTCATAGTGAAGTTTCTAATCCCAGTAAATTTTGATTAAATAAGCATCAGAAGTTATTCTAAATAATCACCAATGCCAAGTTAATATTACTTCCAAGTTAAAATCTCATTTAATGCAAGTGCTTTTTAATTAACAGTGGAATTTACTCTCAAAATTCTTTATAATTAGTATTTTTACAATTAATTTATTTTTGAAAGCCAAAACATATTGCTGGTCTTAATCTTATTAGTGTTTAAGAATTTTCCACCAGGCTTCTACCCATTTTTTCCATGAGTATTGTTTTGCATACTACATGTCTGAACATTCACCTTTTAAAGCAGCTTCCTTCAAAATATTATCTGATGGCTGCTATTATATTTTTCATTCTTTTTTCAACTCAACTCACAACAAGATTTAGGCCTCTGCGGAAAGGGGACAGAGAGCACTCGGAGTTTGTATGCTGTCATTTAGAATTAGTGTTGATGTATTACCTCTGTCACAGCCCAGTGGTGTAAAAACTGGTCCAGATCAGTTAGGTAAAGACGGACAGGTGAAAGCTGTGTCTGGCTAATGTGTGGCTTTCCTCTAATGCCCTGGAGACTAGTCAACTCCTCTCTTGAAAACCCTAGAGAAAAAGAAGCAGTACAACAGTATCACAAGGCAAGCCAAGCACTGTTCTACTTCAACAGCGTCACTGATAAAAACTGTCTTTTAAATTGTGTCTACATAACTTTTTTTGTTAAATGCTCTTGCTTTGTATTTTCAGTTAGGTATATCACAATACAAATTCTGACTTCTGAAAGGAAACAAAAATATTTGAAAAAGCAACAAGCATACCCAGTTAACCTATAATGTGGCATAAAAAAGCAAACTGTAAGAGGCCAATGTTATGCCGCTATTTTCAATGTATCTTTAAAAAAATAAGAAAACAGGTATAATGCAAGACAGTTCACCATCTGTTCACAATAACTCAGTAACCTTCTAACATAACCTCAGCATTTAAAAAATAAATTAAATAAATAGGCTATTTATTTCTAGCCAGGTATTAGATGTTTTAGTAAAACGGGACTACTGCTCCAAAACAGTCACTTGGCTTTTGCTTTGTTTTTTCAGTTATCTCAGCACTCTCTTCACTGTTTTAGGGAAAAAAAAAAAAAAAAAGGTAATTTTTGAAAGCAAGGTAGTTTGAACATTATGAATGACTGAGGTGATGAAGAAAAATCACTTTCTTTTCACCACAGGACAAGTTACTGGAAGATATTTCTCAGTAACATGATGTAATTTTAACCACTATAATTTCCCAAAGTTGCATCACCACAGACTACAACTATTTTTATATCTGAGTAAGAATATAGTAGCAGAAGTAATTCTGCTCACTTGTTGACCCTGGGCAACTCACTTCGATATACTTTGATTACTTTATTCTGATGGAATGTTTTTAATAGCATAAGCACGTCCACAGGAAATCCCAGGTGCGCTCATTTATATTGTTACAAGCCAATAAAAGGCACTTAAATCCAGAAAAAAATTTCTTGTTCTTGTCATATGCTGAATTTAGGCTTTCCTTGTACCTTTCAAAGAAAGTTGCTAGAATGAAGAACAAGTACGCAAATATGCAACCCAAATTGCAAAATGTAAAAAGAGGGTGTTAAAAATGAGACCAAGAGAAAGAAAAAAATAAAAGGGGTATCTCATACCAAAAATATGTAACAAGATTAGAATTACTTCCAGGAAGTATTTACTACACCATTTATTCTAAATTAAACCCAGTAATTGACTATCAAAACAAATTTCATTTTGTTAATTCTGATTTATGACATGCACATGGATTACCTATAAGGGTTGAAAACAAGAAGCTGAAATAGTCCACATCATTCACTGAATTATCCTGCACTTGGCACTTCCAGCCTGCAAAGGATGATCTACACAAAACCAACAGCAGAGAGTTTATTAAAAAAACATGTAATTAAGAATTCACAACCTACCTGCACAATATTATCAGTTAGCATGACTAAATTTTTAATTTTAGCATTCCTGTTTCTAAGTGCTGCTGTTAGAATAGCATTTTAAATAGCTTCAAAACCAGAACTTGCTCTTTTCAAGACAAGTAATATTCAACTTTGTACCCATACATGGGCTTAGGTTGTTGATTAAATTACTGAGATAGCAACTCTTCATATATATCGGTATAACCTTTAGTATAGTGACGACAGCCAACACAGTAAATTAAATCAGTTTTATTCCCCTTATTTGGTAAAAGTCATTATATTATGAAGCTGGGTTGTATTTTTCATTATATCCAATACTTTTAATACAGCTCTTTACATGAACAACAGATCCCATTTAAAAGCAGTCTCAGCATCTATTTTAGAGTAGCTAAAGCTATTAAACACAGAACTAAATTAAAAACTTGCTTTGAGATGTAGAACACAGAAAGGAGCAATATGCAAAGACAGGAGCAAACCCATTATCAAAGCTGCCTGACACTTCCCTTTTCAGGGGCAAAAGAAGTGGAGCACCAGCCTACTTTTGTTTCTCAAATTACCAGCTGTACATGCTCACAGAAACCCAGAGCAGACACCAGTGACCACCAAATGGTCTTGCCTGTGTATTGTCACAGAAGCGGGAGAACGCCAGGAGCTGGGAACGAGTACATCTCACACATGCCTTCCTCAAAAGACTGCAGCTCAGACCTACATCACATTATGCAAAACACATATTATTCAAATTTACTTGTGTGCTGCTCTTGGCACTTGCACTGCGGACTATGGATCTTTGCTGTAAGAGATTGCTGCTTTCTGCTCTTAAAATCTTGTGAAATTTCAGAGCTACTGAATGCAATTTTCCAAGCCAACTATCTGCCTCAGATCACTTTTTTCCTAATTTCTCTCCACTAACAGCCAAAATGGCTTAGCTCATGGGTAACAAAATTCTGGAAAGCTTGTTTTGCAGAAAGTTTTTACAGCTCCACATTTTGGGAGCAAAAATATCAAATTTGGAATACCTTTGTGCCAGGCATATACATTTTGCCACCCCATGAGAATCCATCCACAATATTTCAGCATCCACAAAAATGACAGCTAGAATATGCACGTGTCTGGAGCTACTCAAAAAGGGAAAAAAGGAATTTCCGAATTTCTTTAAAGAAAAAAAAAAAATATCAGGATTTAATCAGACTACCACGTAGGACAATTAATACTGGGGGGGGGTGGGGGGG